ACGAGTAATTTGCAAAAAACTGTTTTTTCGTTTTTCGTCAATAACTCGTAAACTATTGACGCTAGCGAAAAACTTTTATATAGGAATTGTAGATCTCGTCGTCCTCTACAAGAAAGGTCCTATGCAATTTTCCCGTAGATCCAACGGTTTAGGAGTTATTGAGGAAAAACGAAATTTTTTTCCAAAAGTTCGCCGTTTCGAGGCTGGGATGGTCGGATTTTGTCAACATCAATAAAATGCCAAATAATCATATGTAACTTGTTAAATACTCGAGTTAGAAGAAAAATTCATAGAATCTTTCTTGTTGAAGACGTCAGGGCTTATAATTTCTGTATAAAAAGCTTTCCGCCATCGTCAATAATTAATTGAATATTTCCTCCTATATTTTTAAGCACGTAGCTATTTATTATTAGCATTGTCCTTCTGACGTCTGATTTCTTTTTAATTATAGGAAATGCGTTTTTCTAAGGTACATAAACTTTTGGGATTGACTGCATAGCCAATACATCCTTAACGCAGTTACAATTAGCAGATAGCATGTTTTGTAGAATAGCGTCGTTTCATACCTGTTTATTAAAGTTTTATTTGTTATTTGTTCCCTCGAACCTGACCTACGATACGTCCATACCTACGTACATACATACTCCCTCGGTGATCAAGCTCTATATAGATATTACATGATGTTTCTTTTGCATGAACACCAATGGTTTTGTTCTTCAACTTTTCGTCTCGACAGATGAACTTCCACGCGTAAATGAAGGTATATACACTACTCTCTACACTACTCCACACTTTTGTGTTATTAATTTCTCAACGATGGACCATTCGCTTGAATATTTTTATCGAGATACGATTTTTATAGATTCCGGATTTTAGATCGTTCATAGAAAAATCGTCTGTATAATATTTAAGGATATGCAGAAGATTAAAAATGTAATTCTATCTAAATCACATTTTTGGAATTGATACCGCGGAAAGTGGGACGGTCCATGATTTGAGAAATGCACGCAACTAACTTTCTACAACGTAACGCTTCTTTACTTCTCGCGTGTGTGTTCCACAAATTTGATCTCTGGCAAATTCATCTAACACATCTAATCGTCGACAAAAATTTCATATTTCAACCCTAAATTACTATCTCTCTGTTTCTTCGTTCTAACGAAAATTGGCTTACAATTAGTCTTACCCAAATTGACCCACAGATAGGAATTTATACTTAATTGCAGAGAACACACTGTACCGTGTTACTGCTCTCGGCAGAAGCTTGTGCATTCGTAGCTTTGTGATTGTTCATAGAAATTTGTGAGGAGATATCCGACACACTTGTTTCATAGTTACGTACATCGGATATCTTATCTCAAATTTTCATCACGAAACCGGACTCGATCATAGCGTGTATCATGATTTCCTCCGTTCTTTTTTAATTCATTATATTTTGTATTGCTGTTGTTACCACGTTACTTGTTTGCTAATTATTTTGTTTTCTTTTTCGTCTTCCCTCCGCATCCAACTTTGAGCAGAAGGTGAAACTCCGACTAAAGGTAATACTTTACATTCATATGTACGCGTCTCTAGTCTTTCGCTTGCTGTCGATTCATCTATGCTGTTCTAAATACTAGTCTATGTATAAATAAAGCTGCACGTCGTACTAATTTTGCGAATACGAAACGCTTCGATGGTCTCGCAGCGTCTGGTCTTGTGGAATTTTAAGGGAACGACGGGTTTTGAGTACGTATATCGAGAAACGTGGAAAAATTCTTTCAGTATAGGTCGAGCAGAGAAGGCGGAATATATCTAACAAGGCAATAGACTTCCTACTTTAACAATTTTTTAAACAGGTATTTTTCTTTCCTCTTAGCAGTTGTTCCGATATGTATCGTAGCTTTTAGCAGCGTCGAATCCTTTTTTCAAGTATCATGCACTCGATCTTTGTTAACAATTGTATTTTTCAATCGCTTTACTACTACAATTGCTACAGTCGTACATCTCGTTATCGTCGTCCAAAGGACATCTGTTTACTTAATGTCGTTCGTTAATTAGAGGTACTGGATAATCGATTACGTTGCTGTTAACGTGAACCGATTTATACGTATTACTTATCACGCACCCAGCTAATATATAATGGTGTGGGGCTTGCAAGAAATAGGGAAATGGCACGACGTAAACAATCACGAATTTCTTATTCGTCTCGTCGTGACATTTATGGTACGTCAGCCACGCCTCTTACCGTATAGAAGTCTTACGTTTAATCATAATAAAAATCAAATTCTGTACAATAAATGTACATATGCTATGAAATGATATCGGCGTACGTTCGTGGTAATCAGTAGGAAAAGATTAACTCCAACTGTTCTATAGATCATAGACCACATGGACGCAATACTGAACTTCCAGTGATCCCACGAAGCGAGAGCACTTCCGAGTTCCAACCGTTGGAGAACAAAGAAGCCGAGCATTTCTTCGCTTCGGACGCCAGTGCCGTGATCGAGCACACAAATCGTGTCATATTTTTAGAGGTAAATACATTTTTCTCTCTTTCTTCGATCAAGTTTTACTAATTGTAATATCGCATCTGTATTGTTTATTTTTTTTTCTTAGGACGATGATGTGGCTGCAGTTAAAGAGGGTGCTCTCAGCATTCATCGTCTTCGAAGATGCATGGACGACCCCCATGCTAGAGAAATCACCACTCTTAAGATGGAGATCCAGCAGATCATGAAGGGCAATTATGAGTACTTCATGCAAAAGGAGATCTTCGAGCAACCGGAGTCGGTAGTGAATACCATGAGGGGACGTTTGAACTTCCGAGATAATTCCGTCACGTTAGGAGGTATCAAGGTAAGCATCCCTTTTTAAAGAAATATATTACGTATAATATATATTTATTATACATTCTCATTAACGATGAATTCGTTGATAGGATTACATTCCTGAGATCAAGAGATGCAGGCGGTTGATGCTAATTGGATGCGGAACGAGTTATCATTCTGCCATTGCTACCCGACAGCTTCTTGAAGAATTGACTGAGCTACCAGTCATGGTTGAACTGGCTTCGGATTTCTTAGACAGAAACACGCCTGTGTTCAGAGACGACGTCTGCTTCTTTATCTCACAATCGGGTGAGTTGTTTATTTAATTTATTATCACGTGTAATAAAGGATTCTATGTTTAAGCAAGTAGCGTAACTGCTTGTTAATAAAATAATGCATTGTCACCGAGTTACGTTGTTCGCAGGTGAGACTGCCGATACTCTGTCGGCCTTGCGGTATTGCAAAGGACGCGGAACTCTGATCGTTGGTATCACCAACACAGTAGGCAGTAGTATTTGCCGTGAATCGCATTGCGGTGTTCACGTAAACGCTGGCCCCGAAATTGGTGTTGCTAGTACGAAAGCCTACACTTCTCAATTCATTTCCCTGGTGATGTTTGCCCTAGTTATGAGCGAGGACAGAATCTCTCTTAGTAACAGACGCAAAGAGGTACTTTCCTAAATTTTCAACCAACCTCCACGTACAGGAAGATAAAGGATAGTTTTGTCTGTTAACAGATTATCGAAGGATTGAAGAACTTGGATAATCTTATTCGTCAAGTTTTACAGCTTGACGATAAAGTGAAAGAATTAGCCAAGTCTCTATTCCAGCATAAATCTTTGCTGATCATGGGTAGAGGATACAATTTCGCTACGTGTATGGAAGGAGCTCTCGTACGTTTCTTTCTATCACGATTTCCCGTTATTTTAAAAGTAGTTCCATTTTATGTTCTCATTTACAGAAAGTCAAAGAGTTGACGTACATGCATAGCGAAGGTATCATGGCAGGAGAATTGAAGCATGGACCTTTGGCGCTCGTCGACGACTCGATGCCAGTGATCATGATTGTCATGAGGGATCCAGTTTACGGGGTAAATTGAATTTTTATAAAATCCTCGATTGGACAACGTAAGACGTCTTTTTAACAAAATTTTATATTTTGAAGAAATGCATGAACGCCCTTCAACAAGTAATGGCACGAGAGGGGAAGCCTATCGTTATATGCGAGGAAGGCGACACCGAGACGAAAATGTTCGCGGACAGGGTCCTCGAAGTGCCTAAGACGGTGGACTGTCTCCAAGGCATTCTCACGGTCATTCCAATGCAACTTCTATCTTTTCACATTGCGGTTCTTCGCGGATGCAACGTCGACTGTCCGAGGAATCTCGCGAAATCGGTCACAGTCGAATAAAACGGTCGACGACTTACAATACAGGGACACTTGTTTCGAATGCTGCGCGCCGTGCTTACTTAGTCGTCGACTTAAATCTTATATACCATTATCGATAAGCAATGATTATCAGACGCGCCGTGATATTCTCGCGATAACGCGAAAACTAATAACATTTCCAAGTACTTAGTAATTATAGGTTTGCGTTAGGGTACGTTCTCCTACGCGTGTCAAAGAACATTTAGGCTTGACCAGTTGGACCATCGTTAATCTTAGGATAGATGAATACTCAAAAATCAACGAAAACGTTCCTCGCGATGGAACTATGTTAATCGAGTTCCCAGGAAATGATTCCAATACATTTAGCTATTCTATTGACTAATCGATTGTAATTGTACTCTTTCTAATCACTTAAATAAGACTGCGGTAGAGAAGATTATTGTTGCATCAGGAACTTGTGGATGTTCCAGTGAGTAGTGTTGTCTATGAGTGGATGCGGATACATTGGATGTAGCATTAGGCGATCGAAGAATACTATTATTTATAAATACGATGATTTCCACGCGATTGTCAATTATGATTATTTCACGCTTTCAGAAAATTCGTATTTTGTACAGTATTTAAGGAAAGAACGCGGATATGAAATTCGATTTTGCCACGAATGTATTAATGAATTATATGCGAATTTCGTATTGGTGGTTCGACGGAAAAAGTTTTGTATAAATTTTCCCTTGACCCTGTTCTATCTATCAGCGAACGACTTTTACCGTGTGTCGAAGTCAACGTAATTAAGTAACAAACGCAACTTTTCTATAGGTTAATCGAGGTGTTGGAAGTATAAGATGCCGAGTCGTTACTTACCGAATTTGTAACAGTCTCACGTAAATAACGTGCGATACGTCGAGTGAACAATAAAAGGTACACACCTTCATACTATCCGCGTTAAGTTATTGCAGAATGTGTTCCACGAAAATGCACACGAACCGTAAATTTAAAATGTAATTGCACTATTTGTAACGTGTAAACATATCGAATAAACTGACAAAATGAAATACCTTAACTCTCGTTTCGATCGATACAGGTACCCGCCATCTTGGTCAACCGGAAGTGATCTATCGATATCTATCAATACAAATTCGATACCGTCAAATCGAGTTCGTAACGCTGCAACTTCCGATGTCAATTAGCAATTTGCAACTGCATGAAGTGTATTGTTCACGTTTCATTTTTCAAGAATCGTGTTCGGTGCGTGTTTATCGTTCTAATTGGACGTGCGCCAAAAAGTCGATTGAAGTGATACCGAAGCCACGTTCGTGGTACGGCATATGCGCCAGTAGTAAATCTCGTGTTTATGTCGGACATGCGGAATCGAGGCAGTGCGCGGTATCCCGTCTGAGCAGCGACGACGCGACGGTACGTAATTATTCTCCGGGTCGCAAGAGAAAGGACGGTTGCCAATTTCCCCGTTTCCCAGTATCGAGCAAAATCCTCATCGAGGAGAACCCAGCCGGTGTCCATCGCGAGGAACGACGAGGGCAAATCGCGATCGCGAGTATACGCGCGCTCCGTTTTAATCGAGAGGGTCAAAGAAAAAAGAGGTACAAGTAGAGATAATAAAGAAAGGAGAAGAGTAAATCGCAGCGTGAAGCGTGATTGTGAAAAAGTTAGCTGCGTGTTGGAGCGTAATTCCAGGTGCTAAATTTAAATTGCTGGCTCGATCCCCTTGGGTTATTTCGCCTAGGTTGGCTGCGCTCGTACGGTCTGATAATAACGAAGCTTACAATCAGTGGTCAGCCCTGCCGGCACGGCAGTGGATCGCTGTCGGTCGTCATCATCGTCGTTTATCGCTTATCGGTGATATAATATACTTAAATCGGTGTGTCGCGGTCGCCATTGCTGATAGCGCGAATCGAAGCCAGCGAACGGGCATAAGCGAGAATAAGCGTGTAAACGACAACGCGTATAGGACAATAAGCATCTTCGTAGTGCGCAAACGTGAGCTTTCCACCACTACGCGAGTCAGTCGACGGTCTGCCGGCGAGCAGTGCGGACGCGTCGTCGAACGTTTCGATTGCCGTTGCCCGCGAATATTTACTGGCACGACCGCGATTTTGCCCCACCGTTCGTTCCATTGTCGGTGCCACGGTAGAAACGCGCGGTCCCTGCGGACACGGAGGACGTACTCTCGTCGAGGACCACACCTCCCCTCTGGCTGGCCCGTCGCGACCCTCCCTACCCAAGACGGTTACCCGGTGTTCTACCAGCGCCGCGGCGGTTCCCCTCTATTGATCGAATTTGACCTGCGAAGTTTCCCCTAGCGTGTGCGGTACTGGTAGCCGGCAGTGGCTCTCGCGCTTACGTTCCTCGGTTAGTGCGGTAAATAATCGCGATACTTCGGCATGGCTACTGCGATCTGCACGCGGTTCAGTGACGAGTATGAGCTCCACGAGGAACTGGGCAAGTAAGTACAAAAAAAAGTCATGCTTATACACCTTTGCGACATTCGCGAATAGTGGCTAGGAGAGAAGAGTAGGAGACGGAGAGAGGGAGAACGAGACACAGTTAGATTGGCTGATCGTTACCGCGTGTCACGACGTTTGTTTCGTTTCTCTATTTCCGTGTGTACACACGTAACCTCTCCACGTCTTTCGTCTCCTTTCTCGCTCCTACGCTCATACGCGAAACGTCTTGCGGTGATGCTTTTGCATCGCAAACACGAGCTCGAGCTTACACATTTCTCATGTATTTACGTCGCGCATCCCGTGTCACCGTGACCCGGGTAGCGTCCGTCGCGTCGTAGCAGACACGACACGCGAACGCTGTCTGTTCAGAAGAGCACGATTCTCCTAGCAGACGACGCTGTCGCCTGTGTCGGCCATGATTATTCTCTGCGTATGCGGGGCCTCTTACTCCTCTCGCTTTTTTCCCAAGCACCGTCTCTTTCATCGCTCGGTTCTCTTCCTCTCCGGTTTTCTCGGCCGCGGTTCTCCGGTTCCCGTGCGCACGCCATCCCCGTGTTTCTTTCGCCCGTACACGCGGGAGACACCCCGTTGCATTTCGTCTATATTTAAGCGGTACGGCCTGTCTGCTCGTGGCTCAAGCTCTATATATAAAGCGTCAGGGCGCTTGGTGATCGCGGCTCGTGCCGTCCCGGTGGTCTCTATCGCCGTCGAAAACGAGGTATCCGCATCGTACGCGGATCTGTCACCAAATCAATACGATGTCGTCGCGCCGCTTTTTACCTTCATCCCCCTCCTCATCCCGACCTCTTTCTCCGCGGTCTCTCGCTGTTTCCTTTCATCGTTCCTCGATCCCGGTCATCTTCTCTCTACGATTGCCCTTCTTCCATCGTTCGTTTATGATCAGCCTTTTCTCTTATCGTTCAACAATCGTTTCGTCTCGTGCGTCGCTGATGGCAGGTGGTTGCCGTCTTGCACGTCGGTATCCCTAAAATCCTTGTTTTCCTCCTATCGCGGATTTTCATTCCCGACATAGTTTACAAGTTCCTCGACGCGATTCATTATTACAGGCTAATATATAGTTTTTAAACATTTCATTGATTCTCACTCTTGACTAAAGTTTGATCCTTATAAGAAATTGTATGAAAATTGCATTGTTTGCTTAGTGTTCTCCATTTTTTACATACCCAAATGTTTTGTACGTAAGATGGCAATCATATTTATTATGTAGATATAAGATTGACATTAGGCACGGTGGTTGCCAAGCATATTTCTATTAGATATTGTTCTCCGTTAGAAACGCTGAAAATCGAGAGCGGTTGACTCTTTCTCTTGTTAGAGTTACGAAAATCTATAGGCAGTCGTAGGAGGGCAATGGGTCTCGCATCGTTCGTGACCTCGAGTGACCTCGGACTCGCGGCTGAGGAATTTTCTTTGGCCGTGAACGAAGGAAAATTTCTGACCACACCCCGTGTCTTTTTGGGACAGTTTGCGCTACGGTCGATAAACACGCAGCATATAGAGCACGCGTTACATCCTGTCAATTTGTTATTCCAATTCTGCATTTCGAATCAACCCTTTAAGCTACGTCGAAGGCCGCGCGAGAATAGAGTCACGTTTCATTCGATTTATAACTGGAATTCTCCTGCAAATTCGCAAGCCCTGTAATACATAGACATCCGCAGTCTAATTACGAAGCTCTCAAATGTCTAGCTGCATTTTGCCTCAGCAGTCGTCGGACAGGCTTAACGGCTTTCGTTATCTCAACTTTCTTTTTAATCCTGAAATTGTAACGCCTTTATCGGCTGTTTAATTAAACTTTTGCGAAGTTAGTCACGTCGTAATAAACGACGGCTTATCTGTACAAATTGCGAGAAATTCGTGAGCGACGCAGCCAGTTTCTGACTGCACGCGCGTGTCTGTTCAACGGTGAAAACCGAGCGAATCTAATTTGAACGGCAGCGACCGCGGATTCGCAATCAGGGCCGGCTGATTTAGAATATTGTCCGCGCGTGTAAACACGCTCAACCGACTCCCGTTTGTTTTCGTCCTCGCGCGATATAAGAAATTGTATGAAAATTGCATTGTTTGCTTAGTGTTCTCCATTTTTTACATACCCAAATGTTTTGTACGTAAGATGGCAATCATATTTATTATGTAGATATAAGATTGACATTAGGCACGGTGGTTGCCAAGCATATTTCTATTAGATATTGTTCTCCGTTAGAAACGCTGAAAATCGAGAGCGGTTGACTCTTTCTCTTGTTAGAGTTACGAAAATCTATAGGCAGTCGTAGGAGGGCAATGGGTCTCGCATCGTTCGTGACCTCGAGTGACCTCGGACTCGCGGCTGAGGAATTTTCTTTGGCCGTGAACGAAGGAAAATTTCTGACCACACCCCGTGTCTTTTTGGGACAGTTTGCGCTACGGTCGATAAACACGCAGCATATAGAGCACGCGTTACATCCTGTCAATTTGTTATTCCAATTCTGCATTTCGAATCAACCCTTTAAGCTACGTCGAAGGCCGCGCGAGAATAGAGTCACGTTTCATTCGATTTATAACTGGAATTCTCCTGCAAATTCGCAAGCCCTGTAATACATAGACATCCGCAGTCTAATTACGAAGCTCTCAAATGTCTAGCTGCATTTTGCCTCAGCAGTCGTCGGACAGGCTTAACGGCTTTCGTTATCTCAACTTTCTTTTTAATCCGGAATTGTAACGCCTTTATCGGCTGTTTAATTAAACTTTTGCGAAGTTAGTCACGTCGTAATAAACGACGGCTTATCTGTACAAATTGCGAGAAATTCGTGAGCGACGCAGCCAGTTTCTGACTGCACGCGCGTGTCTGTTCAACGGTGAAAACCGAGCGAATCTAATTTGAACGGCAGCGACCGCGGATTCGCAATCAGGGCCGGCTGATTTAGAATATTGTCCGCGCGTGTAAACACGCTCAACCGACTCCCGTTTGTTTTCGTCCTCGCGCGACTAGCTGCTCCCGAATAATTTTCGCATTCAAGTCGCGTCGATTTATTCGATTTTCAACATTTCCGGCCGCGTTTTCAACGATTCAAGTAAGTCACTTGTAGAAAAACGGAAATGAAGCTTTCGTGTCGGGGAAATCGACGTTTCTTTCAATTACCTAAAACATCTGAGTTAAACGTGTCGGTTTAATTAAGAAACGCGCTTCGTGAATCATCGAACCGATGAAAGAACGATTAGACGATGGAATAGACGCTCCTTTCGGGTAACCGTTAATTTCTTAATGACGAAAGCATTTTTTTGTTTACTTCGCACACCACCTTTTAAGCTCGCTACGAACTACACAAGCGGCAATCTATTTCTAGAGCTTCCAGCATCTCGAAACTTTTGAGCTCCGCTGAACGAGATCCGTCCAACTTAAAAAGTTTACCAATCGAATTACCTGCGCATCTCCGTTGCTTACCGCGCTTTAGCTATTAGCTTAATTCACCGCATCGTCCCCACCCTCTGACAATCGCTCGTTTATCATTTCTTACTTTCCATTCGGCATGTAAATTCAAATATCGAACGTCCTACTTCTTCGTCGCAGCAACTTTATTATAATTACACCGCGTAGTTTCATTCAGAATAAAACATTTATCAATTCAGAAATTTAAGTAAACATTTCTTTCGTCATTTAAGGATGTATTGGCTATACAGTCAATCCCAAAAGTTTATGTGTCTTAGAAAAACGC